GTGCTCTTCCGATCTATACATTTTTTAAACTTTAAATTAAGTTAAAGTTAACAGTCTTAAAATTTAAATTACTTAAGAGACAAGTTAATGTCCGTAATAAAATTAATTAAATTAAAAGTTAAGTTAATAAAAAAAATTGAAAAGTTAATTTTTTTTATTTTGTAATTTTAGGGTTTCTAAGTCTATTTGTTATACTTATTTCTGTCGATCCGCGGAAAGAGGACTGATTTCGGATTTCTTCCAATATGATTTAATCCATAGAAGGTGCGCGGACAGTAATTCCTTCCCTGTGGCCAAACTATATTCATTATATTATAACAATTGCCTTGATGTGCGTTCTCAAATTTGAGTTTGAAGACACCAACGCAGACATGTATCTTATTTTGGGTTTACAAAAAAAACTAAAAATGTAACTTCAAGAAAATTAAATCAAAAGTTAATAGTTACCGATAAAATGTAACTAAATTAAGTTAAAAGTTAAGAGTCTAAAATGTAACTAACAATAAGTAAAATTAAAATTATTTAACTTTTTAACTAGGTACTATTCAACCCTGGACTGGAAATCCTTTAGTTCAGGGCACTGTAAAATATCCAGTAAAATTGCACGTCTGGGGATGCTTCTGTAAACAAGGTTTTGGGATTTTGTATCTATTCATTGGTGATCCCAATGCAGAGAGAATGGTAAAAATTTATCAAATGGGTTTATTGAAGTCTGCTACGAGATGATTTGGCCCCGATGCAAGCATGGATACTCCAAAAAAATAACGATCCCAAACATCGAAGCCGTGCATGCACGACGTGGAAACGTGAAAACGGTATTATTACGATGGATTGGCCCTCACAGTCTCCTGATATTAATCCAATCGAAAATGTTTGTACTGCTATGAGGATCAAGCTGAGAGAAAAGCGAGTTTTCACTTTAAAACAGTTAGCGTATCAGTTTTACGTTTGATTTGGAAATCACTTCCCGAGACTTTGGTAGAAAATCTTATTGAAAGCATGCCTCGACGTTGCAAAGCCGTAATCGACAACAGAGGGGACTGGACAATATATTAGATAAATCCATCGAAGCGTATATAATATACTTCAAGATCATATGTTTATTTTTCAAAAATCTTTTCTTTTTCAGGAGAAATAGCTAACACGCTCTTGTGCCACTGACTGTATACTCCCGTAATTGATGGTACAATTCACGTATATATTTATTTATGATCATATAACACACGAAACTATATTAATATAATCAACACGAATCACGCGTGTATGAATCATAACTTACAGTAATAATACATTTTTCACTAATATAGTAATATAGGAACTAATATAGTAATATAGGAAAAGTTAAATATCCAATGTTATTTTCTGTGAATGAATAAATTAATATCACACGTGTGCGCATGTATTAGTGAATAATTATTTTTTTTTATTACTTAACATTTATTGGTCATTAGTAAATTAGTATACCATTTGTATCTTTTAAAGTTGTTTATTTATTATTTGTATAAACTACATTGTAATAATAATTCATGTAAATTATTTTTATATACAAATATACAATGTACAAAAGGCACGACATATCTACATTCTTTAGCTCACATACAATAAAATGCAAGACGATATAAATTAAAATTACAAAATGTAGAAAGTATATATAATTAATAAATGTCACAAACATTTATTATCAACAACTGTTTCATAGTACCGTTAAAAAAATTAAATATTTTATTGTGCTTTAACAAACTTCACAGATTATTGTTCATCATGCATCTTTTCCATTTATTTTTTTCACTCTTATATTCCTCTTTATATTTTTTTTCACACTGTATTTCAATGAAACGACAGAATACAATAGTTCTAAAGAGACATCACTATAAAACATAGGAAAATGAATACGATTTAAACAATTTTGTTTTGTTATATTATTATATACAGGATATAAGTTGTATGGATGTAATCTATTCCATTAATTAAGCAATAGAACAGATTTTGGTGTAAACCTTCTATCTAACAAAAATGTCGCGTCGAAATGTCTTCCAATTACAAATTCAGGAATTTTGAATAATTAAATTTTAACAATAAAGATTGATATTGAAATCTTCATCTTCATGTGACTTACCTCAAACAAATTATTAGAAAAATGTTTTAACAAAAACTGTTTAAAACTTACACATTAAAGTTTTTTGTTTAATGTTAGACATCTAATATCATAAAAATAAAAAAATTGTATGAAATACGATCATTTGTTTCAATTTTTTTATTAAAAGAGAAGACTCCAATTTCCTTCATTTGAAATCATCCATCACTTGATAGTTTTGAAATATTTTAAGTTACATAAAAAAAAGATGTTTTTGTTTATAATTTACATGTTATATTACAAATAATGGATAATGACGTCTCAAGCAATATTCAAATATATGCTTTATTGTAAGTCTATCAACATTAATGTCAAAAAATATTACTGAATTTCATGGAAACATATGTCCATCTTTTATATTAAATTTAAATGAAAAACATTGAAATATAAAAATCAAGGCAGCATTAAAAATAATGAAAATATCTGAAATTAATTATTATCTATGTATATACAGGATGTTTCATTTTAATCACCCCAGACGAATAATTTGAAAAGAACAATCTCCAATAGTCATGACCTTGACATATGTTGTCAAGCTCATTCTGAACAACATTCAAAAGGTTTTAGCCATTATTCGAACATCTTGGATAATGCTAATGCAGGCGGTACTGTAACATTCAGCCTTATAACTCGAAAAGTGCTTATAATGGAAAAATATTTTATTATAGTATTTTGAAAAGCTTTCGAGATAAGCTATAAGAATGTGAAATGAAAAATCAGGGATTCCATTTAAAAAATTTAAAGTAACCTTTCTCTGACATTGACAACATCACACAAGGTCAAATCATTATATCATTTTATGTGTCCCTTGAAGTCATACAACTTTTGTCTTGCGTTTTTTTTCAATTCTGTTTTATTTTCGAGTTATTCGCCTGGGGCGATTAAAATAAAACATCCTGCATAATCTATTACTATTCCTAATATTCTTTCTCACTTCTTCATTTTTAATTACATGAAAAAAATAAATACTTATTCTTTTTTCCCTTCTCTTTAATTTACGAAGTATGAATAAAAAATATATACGATGCTATTTCTCCAATATTTAGTTTAAATGCATTTTATACAACCTTTTTGTGACTCGAAATATAATAGATTAAATTAGACGTATCAAAATCATTTTGAAAAATTTTTAAAGTATAAAAATTATTTTGGAACTTTTTCGAGAAATATATTATCACATAATTATTATACTCAGTCTATTATTACGATAAAATTTCAAGTTTATATCATTACACGTGTATTTTTTGTTCCATTTACAAATAGCTTTAATAGAAAATATGTATAATAAATCCATCATATGTCAATATATCAAGAACGTAGTCTCAATAAAATATAATCGCAGCGTAATGTGAAATATATATCAAGTACACTATTAACATATAGTGTGACATGCTTTGAATTTTAATAACCGCATCTTGATGACTTGATAATTTCAGTATCAAGAGAATTTTCTATTAAGTTGGTTCATTGTATAGAATATAATTATTAGAATTATATTTATGAATTTGCTATCGCGACAAATGTCAATAATATATATTTTTCTTATACTTCTTATAAATCTCTTTATAAAAATCATAGGTGTTTCCTGTGTAGGGAGCATTAAACATATTAATCTTGCATATAAACGATATATAAACCAGTATAAAAACAAAGTATGTTCGAGATATTATTGTTATAAAAACGACGTAAAAATATCAGTTATATAAATTGGACCTGATTATCTTTATAGGAATGTAAAAATTTCATTTACAAAATATACCGATTATTAATCATTTTTTATATAATCAGCTGTTTGTATAAAATAATATATATAAGAGCTTAAATGCGATATACTTTCCAATACCTTTTTCATATGCAAATTAAGACACATAGCATATACGTACACACATACACACACACGCACGCACGCACGCACGCACACAAAACATATATACATACATCATACATGTATAATCTAATACATAATTAGCATAATTCTGATTAATAATGGAAATGCGTATTATAAATTTACTTGTTAGTAAACTTATTCCGCTTTACTGAACTTTCACACATTAAGAGTAACAAAGATTTTATGTAATAAATAATCTATAAAATTGGAATGACTTGTAGCAAAGCTGCAATGATATTTGGGAAAATATATACAGCATAGAGCAGGGCTAGCTGAGCGCAAGGGTAAATTGGCATATACAAATATCTCAGTAACCAAAACATATCAATGCCAAACAAAAACTCAAGAGACGGAACTTACTGCGCTAAATATGTCAATTTGCGCCGGTAAACGTTCAATTTCAATAGGCAAACAAATGCGCTTTTTTATTTTTCTGTAAAAGTAAAATATTATTAGATGATTGTTCTTTTTTGTCTATGTGGTAACTGAAGTAATTAATAAAAACCAACTTTTTATATCATCAAGTCATTAGAATATTTTTTAACTTTGATATTCAAATTGCTATTTTATTTATGATTTTTTTTGTCATAAAAAATATTTCACTCGACATTAGTACGGACCAAGTATCCCAATTAATCTCATTTATAAACCGAGATACTTAAATGACACCTGTCTTTATTAATGCTTCTTATTGTTCCTCTTTTTATTAATATAAACATAAAGATAAAAATCAGACGGTAAAATTCTTTGTAAAAGAAAAATAATGTTAACAAATTTCGTAATAAAATTTAATAGTTAACCGTTAACATGTGTGCATATCAGTCTCAATTTATTGTATTTATTTGTTTTTATTTTGTATTACGTGACTATCGCACTGAAGATGGCTTTATTAGATAATTATCTTTTTGGCTCAATTTATCCCACAAATGAGGTACATTGAACCACTCTAACTTTCTAGAGAAGATTCAATATGAATTTTTATTTATAAAATATATTAAGTATCCACGAGTGCTTAAATATTGAGTTGTACAAACATGCAACATTTTAAAGCAATTCTCATTAGTCTATCAAAATAGTGTGAAAATTTATAATAGTTTCAATAAAAAGTTGCTCAACTAGTCCTGTTTTATTATAACATATAGCAATAAACTAAAACAAATTAAAGTATAGAATTATATAAAAGTTTCTTGATAGATTCTACATAAAATCAAATTGACTAATCATCAATATCATTACATAAAATCTTTGAATATTCTTTAACTGCGTGTTTCTGGTAAACATACAGTATTTATTGCCAGAAACACACAGTTTGATAATAATTTTATATTATAAAATATACTTTCTTCAGAATTTTTGGTATATTACAATGGTTCAGTCCAAATTGTGTATCAGATTTTTTAACCAATAGCTATTTGATATGATAAAATAACAAAATTTATAAACAAATATACATATGTGTAGACAAAAACAAGATCATTTATAATTTAATTAGATAAAGTTAAAATTAGATATAGCACAAATTGCTGTTCCAATCTAGTAAATAATATGGAAAGTTAAAAACATATGGTTATCCACATAGAATGAAAAAATAATACTGATTTTATTTAATTTTCTTCTGAAAGTATATCTGAAAATAATCAATAAAGGATCAGTTATCAAATATACAGAACAGTCAAATAAAACTTGTTACACACTTGTGATATGATACAATTATATTGAAATTTAAAACAGCTGTTACTGTATTTCTATAAAATTTTCAATTCATTTTGTACTTCATAATATTTAATTTAAAAAATATACAGAGAATTTCTTCTATATTAAATACATAAAGATATAATATATAATACATAAAAATGATTTAGAAATTTTTAAGCAATATTGTATTTTTCATATAAGAAAAAAGAAACAGTTTCAGACGGGTTATGTAATTATTTTCAGTTAAATGACAATAACAGCAGCCTAGAATTCATAAGAATGCAAGACACAAAGATTTATTATTATTATATTGAATAACATTGCTTCTTCGGAAGAAGAAATAGGTGAATACTTTTTTTCCCACAGCAATTTGAACACAAACTGGTTAGCTTCATTTGGTTTATATGGCTTGAATCTAGTATTTGGTTTTCTAGTATTTAACCGTTTGAGTGCCAAAAGCGGTCACGAAAAATCTATGCAAAAAGTGCTAAGCAAACACCGCAATAAACCTATTGTCGATGCATTCAATTTTTATCACACTCTCAAGACTCAATTACATAGTCAATAAATCGAACTATCTTCAAATACTAGATAACAATAGTCAATATCAAATAATAAGGCGGAAGAAAAAAGCAACAGCGCTTATTGGATATTTTAATAGAAAGCAGAAGCATGATCGCATTTGTTGGCATTTTTTAATATAAATGAGAAACGCAATCATGCTCCTTGGCATTCAAACGATTAATATATTCAATAATAAAATTAATCTTAAGTAAAAAAAATAAGTTACGTGTAGATTTGTAAATCTTGTGTTTAATATAACAACCAGCAATAATCTTATATATTAAATTAAATTATGGGAAAAACATTGAAATCATGTATATCTGTACAAACATAAGAATCTAAGCTGAATTATTTGCAACTGATCCTTTTTTTTTATACAAACATGTCAATCTTTTATCATAGAATTATCGTAGAAAATTATTGACAATATATAGAATACAAATAATTATGTACAATAGAATTTGTAATAATCTTGCAATCGTTCAATATTCATCAAAAGTACAATGAAAAAATGTATCTTTTTATATTTATATATATATATATATATATAATAAAAATTTATATTTATATATATAAATATAAACATGCACACGCATATAGTGTATATAAAGTCAAATTTGTTTAATATACATCTTTACATTAGGCAGTTTTTTCCTCTTTACTATAAATGTATCTATATATGAAGGTAAATATTCAAAAGTCGTATATCCGTATATATATTGTCTTATCAAAATGTGTTTTGACCTAGTATATATTGCAATATTCTTCAAAAACTACAGATTGGATTAATAATATATTAAATGTGTTAAATTTCTGACGCATACCTTTGTTTTACTAGCTGCTTTCTGGGTTTTTACATTGCTTCTACATTATTGAAGCATAAGGGACTCTAAGTTGCGATGCAGAATAGTATCTTTCACAGCATTAAAGACGACTTTAATATTTTCTGTGTCCACCGCAGTGGTGAAATGATGAAATAACGGCTTTCGTGGATCTCTCTTGACCGAGACAAACATATCGAGGATAAAATTTTGCACGTCCTTCATGGAATGTGGATCACCCGTAAATTGTGGAAAATACAAACGGACATTTGTATCCTGTGACCTCACTTTCTTATCAAGCAAATCCGTTTTGTTTAGAAACAAAATTATGGACACACCACAAAATATCATGTTATTCACGATTGTATCAAATATATTCTTAGATTCTTCCAATCTGTTAGTCCTCCTAAAAGATTAATAGATAAAAACAAATGGCATTATCGTTATTTACTTTGCAAAATCTTGTAAAATAAACATGTAAATAACATACCTATCTTCCAACAAGACCTGGTCAAATTCCGACGATGATACGAGAAAAAGTATAGACGTCACGCAGTCAAAGCATTGGTACCATTTTTGCCTTTGAGATCTTTGACCGCCAACATCAACGAAGAGAAATGGGATGTTATTAATCGGTATTACAAATTCGGAAATTCCTTTTGTCGCCTTTCTACAGTGTAGAATATCCTGGTGTGTAGGTGTATAGTCCTAAAAAATATTTCTTTCATATACTTTACATAAATGAACAATCAAAATTTAAAGTAATGCATATATAAACAATATAATTTTCTTTACATTTCAATAAAAAAAAATATTTAATTGTAATTATAAATTATCAGAAATATTACCACTCTTGCAATCCTATCGAGATTATCCAAGAAGTATTGGACAGAATCACTCTAGAAATATCAAATTATATGTATATCAAATATAACATATAAATTAAGAAATAATATATAAAAATAATAATTATATAGTTCAATGTTTTGATATAAAACATATTTATGTATCCCACATATACAGTGAGTGGCAAAAATTCCGGGATGGCTAATTATTTCAAAAAGTATAAGTTTTATGGAAAAATGTTTCAAAAAAAAATTGTAAAGTTTAAGAAAATATATTAGCTGGTGATATTTATTTGAGCTTTGGTTGACCTTGAAAAGCGCGGTTAAGCTGAACATAAAAATCTTAAATAAAAACTCCTATTTTTTGTTACACATTCTTGTAGCTGACGTCGAGAGCTTTTCAAAACACTATGATAAAGTTATTTTTCATTAAGTACTTTTTGAATTATAAGATTTGAAAGTTACAGACTGCGTTCCGTAATCACGCTTTTGGCGCTTACAATGTTCACGGAATCATTTTATCAAATGTTAAATAAGGATAAATCATACTCACAGTACTTAAGTGTTAAAACGGAATGCAGCCACATGCAGTCGAATTTACACCTCGTATGTGTGTATGTGTGTGAATATGTCACAGCAAATATAAGGACTCCATAATTTGTTACTCACGTAGCATTTTTTTACTCCAAATGTTAGTGGTATTATAATTTTCAAGTCTTATACTCGAAAAGTACTTAACTCGAAAGTGCTTAATGAAAAAATAATAACTCAAAAGTACTTAATGAAAAAATAACTTCATCATAGTGCTTTAAAAAACTCTCAGCTACAAGAATATGAAACGAGAAAAACGGGTTTCCATTTAAGATTTTTGTTAACCTTAACCGCGCTTTTCAAGATCAACCAAAGCTCAAATAAATATCACCAGCTAATAGATTTTTTTTTAAACCCTACAATTTTTGTTTGATACATTTTCCCATAAAACCAAGACTTTCTGAAATAATTGGCCGTTCCGGAACTTTTGCCCCTCACTGTATATCGTACATATATATGTACATACAAGATGCATGTCTATAGAGTTAAAATGAGAAAAAGATCTTACTAATTGGAATTCTCTTCGCCTATCGAATGCTCTTCTAATCGACGCATCCTTCCACAAACTTTGCAATGCTGGCACATAATGTACAAATAATTTCGTGTCCAGTATCATAGAGTTCTCAAATTTGAGTAATTGAAAACCAATATCATAATTCTTTGGATTCTCCCAAGGAATATTCAGTTTATCTCGTGCATCTACTAGAACCTTCATACCCTTTATTATATTCTGATAGATCACATGTTGGTATTCCTTAATTAGTTCGGGCTGAAAAAAATATACATACATAAATATATATATATATATATAAACTCTAATCCTCTAAAAGTAGACTTCTCACAAAAAAGACGATATATTTATGCTTTTATATACTCTATGATATAATAACATTAAACGTCAAGAGAAAATATACTTAATAATTAAAATACAATCAGTGAAATACTCAAATAAATACTATCTTTATCTATGTTTAAATGTTTAATAAATGTTAAATGTTTAATATAGGTATTGCCAATTTCAATGAAAGATATTCTTTCTGAAAAAGTTTCAGTTTTGATTTTTATTAAATTGATAAATTACTCTAAGATTAAAGTATAACACAGAAAATATCCATAATTTCAATGCTTTTTTCGTAGGCCACAGTTTTACTCCCTATTGTTTATTTTCTTTTATATATTATTTAATATATTATTACTCCCTATTGTTTATTTTCTTTTATATATAATATTATTTAATATATTATTAGAGACATAAATTCATTATTCACACAATATTTATTATATTATACAAGTACATATACTTATTTACTGTATCATTTATATTCGCCTTTTTTCTTCTCGATTATAATGCCACTCTTAGCAAAACACAAATCTAAGATCAAATTTAAAACAATTCTTCTTTCATGTTTAAAAAAAATTGCATAATGTATAAGCAAACTGATCTTAGAACATAAATTATTATAGAATATTAGAATATGAATATTAAACAATTAATTTTAATTTGAAATACTTTATTATATAAAAATAATTTATAACTTTAAAATCGCAATGGAATATAATAATTGCATATACATATGTGACATAGTTTTACTTATATCCATCTCTACCAATGTAGATAATCTTTAATCTCGATTTAACTTATTCATTATTCCAGTTCTAAGAATTAGAAAAAGATAAAGAAGAATAGTGTCAGGTTTCTTTCGCCTTGATAAAGTAATCAGCATTGTTCACGAAACGCTGGCATTCAACAATGGATCAAAGAGAAAACCCATAGACCTTTTAGCACTTTTAAAGATAAAAAATATGTTAACCTGAAATTAAAATTAATCTATATTGGTGAAAATAAGCATAAAAAATAGAAAAAGATAAAGTAAGTCAAACCGAGATAATCCAATAAACCGAGATAACATTGGTGGAATATTAGACATGGATAAACATTAGAATTTGAAAGAGGCAAAGGAGGTAAATTAAATTGAGGAAAAAAATAATCTACATTGATAGAAAATGGACTTTAATATGAAAGTTATGCGTAAAATGATCGTATTTGGAATTAAACAGATTATATAATATATATGTATAAAATTTGTGTGTATGTGTTCATATTATTCACATATGTATATTATATATACATATATATATATTTTAACATTTTATTTTAAAAACTGTTATATTTTAGAATCTTTAAATTCTATTATATTTTACAATGTCTCCTCTTGCCTGAAAGAGAATTTGCCAATAGTTTATTTTTTGTAAAAAAAATTACTGTTAACAAATATCTGGATTACGAAATTATGATAAGGAATAGTACAACAGTAAAACATTATGCTTAATTAAAAAAAAAAAGATTTAAAAAATCCCAGCAAACAGATTATAACTGCAATGTTGCGGCAACATTGTAACATTCCGGCTATATTGCAGAAATACTAGCTGGAATGTTACAATACAGTTATAATCTGTGTTTGAAGTTATAATCTGGGATATGCGATAGCTATACGAATGTGTGATTTGAAAGTTACACAGCGCATCGTGAAGGATTAAATACCCGGTAATTAAACACAAGTGCTCCGTACAGGATCGGCGGACCTTCGGAAAGCGAAATGCCGCCGATCGAGAATTTCGTCGCGATTCCACATCACGTGGTGGTGGTGCCGCGCGCGCGGGTCTCCTCCACGGCCCTTACCTCGAACTTGATCCCATGAATGATCCGCATCTGCTTGAGGAATGTCGACTTGCCGCTCTCCCCCGCGCCGAGCAGCAGCAGCTTGACCTGCCGGCGAAACGTCTGCCGGTCCTTCTCCAGCATCCGGTCGATCTCCTGGCTCTTGTAACGCTGCTCGATCTCCTCCGGGCTGAATTTAAAACGCAGGCAACACGACCACGTTAAGGAGCTCGCCATCTTGCCACCCTGCCTCTCTCTCTCTCTTTCTCTCTCTCATTCACTCTCACTCTCCGTCTTTCTCTTATCCCACTTCCTTCGTCGCCGCCACTTTTCTTCCTCCTTCCCGGCCTCTCCTCGCTTTCCTTCTCACCCCGAGGACGTTCCTCGCCTTCGCCTAGCTGCGCCGTCTTGACAACAAACCGACGAAGAGGTGCATACAAACAGAACGATCGAAGGCGGGCGCGCGCGCGCTGGCAACACGGCGATTCGCGTACGTATACTCGAGTCGCACCTCCTCCTCCTCTTCCTCCCCTCCGGGGGGGACTGTCGTCCACCCACCCCGCGAAAGCGTGTAAGCCCCGATCGGAAATCGCCGATTCAGAACCGCATTTCTCGGGCAGGCGTAACCGGCCGGAATGCGTGCGATATCACACACACACCATCACCAGCAGCGCCCGTTGTTACGACTACTTACACTATCAAGCGGACCTCGTTGACGCGCCCGACACCGAGCGGGTGCAAGCTCGCAAATCAGTGCACGCTCTCGCGCCGCTGGCCAATGCGATTTTTTTCTTCCCAATCGATCCCGTACTGTCAAACCTACGTGTATTCGCATGTATACCGTTATAACGCCGCTGTGCGTTACACACACGCACGACGCGCGGTGTTACGATACAAGTACACGTACGTGTGTGCGGAAGAATGTTCGACGCTCATTTTTTTAGCGTCAAAATTACGTGATCATAAGTTTGCTCGCACGAAGAGCAACATCAAGTTTAACGTCAATCGTATCATTCGTTTCTTAAAACGTCCAAGACAAAACAACAACAGCCCTTGACGCTGAAGCTTGAGAAAATCCAGCTTCTTTTTCGACGCTAGCGTCGAAGTCACGTGACTACCAAAAATCCAGCATGTTGACTTCTTCACCGCTCACGTCTTACTGCTCAAGTTTTTCCGTGTGCCATGGTCCCAACGCTAAAACGAGCGTCTCGTGGAATTTGCACCTCAAGAGAGAAGGAGAATATATTTCACGCGGTGACCACGACTGCCGTCGACACCGCCGTCGCTGCCGCTGTTGGATCACGATCCTCACAATCGGCCCGAGTGACCCGCGCCGAATTGGGCATGATTGAATAATCACCGGGCGGTGGTCCGCGCGCCGCGCCTCACGACGTCCACGTTTTATGTGTCACACACGATCGTGTCAGCGATAAACCCGTACATACGTCTCGCTCGCCGCACTGTCTTAATTCTTCCCCTCTCTCTCTCTCTCTTTCTCTTTCTTACGTCCCCTCTTGCCTTCGCTCTTCCTCGGGCTCGCCTAAAAAGCGGCGAGCCTCAATCGCTCCTATACACCACCTTGACACACCTTATCTGTCTTGCCGCACGTAAACGATTGCAATCCATAATGTACATACGTATGTGTACATATGGTGACTGTATCAATGCGATCGATGCGACTTGAGCTATTTTATGATAATAGTGACGGAGAAGAACAGTGAATGCGTGAAATAGTACAAGCGAGGAAACGCCACTGTTCCCCTAAGGCCTAAACTATACTTTCACCATTACACTAATCATTATCTGTCACTTCAGGGGACAATTAAAAAAAAACAGATTCTCCCAGTGACTTCTAGGTTTGTCACACATAAAATAACATTGGGTTGCGGTCGACTTGACACTATAAATGTTCTGAAGCGTTTGATTGACCAATCGGAGCAAAGAATTTTTAGAATTGACCAATCGAAATACTTCGAAGCATTTGTATAGTTAAGTGGACTATAGCAGACTATAGCCAGCTGCATATGTATAGCACAATTGCGTTTTCGATTTGTTGACTCGATCCGACTCCGAGTCAATGGCCTAGTTTACACTGAGCACTTGATACCATGGACGTAGGAATATAAGGGGACGGAGAACAAAGTCGTAATTTAGGTGAGGGGAGTGAAGCCGAAATGCGGGGAGAGATTGGTGCCCAGTTCACTCTTATAACTCTTATTGGGTCCCAGTTCTAGGGATACTCGGTCTATTATATATGTGTGTATCACACGGACACGAGAAATTATATCATTGCGCTTGCGCAAACTAACAGCCAATCAAATTTGGACACCATTTATCTCGTCGCACCTAGAGTCCTAGATTATCAGAGAAGCGCGACCGGTGTTACGAGTACGTAATAACTTCGTATAGCATACAACTGAGTCGACAAGGCACACAGGGGATA